GTAAATGGAAGGAGTTTCAAATACGAACAAGAACATAAGTTTGAAAGACAAGTTTCACATCTGCGGCCGGCTATCTTGAGACACGTTTATTAGTGTTTGGCGTTAGCGCTATTTCTTCCAGATGAAAAGTTTTCCTCGGTACCTTAGAGTAGCGAACGCCTGCATCCATTTTCTACTTGGTGATTTCCCCCATCACGTTAGTAAATAGTTGACTCTTCGAGTTGTTAAATGTCATATCAATCATTCCTTTTAAACGACTGAAAGTAGCTAGTTCTGTTATTTCAATACACTTTCCCTCTCTTTTATTCAGCGTCAGCGTTTAACTATTGACGCTCGCAGTTGCAATCCTGTTCTAAGGAAAAGCTGCATACAGCCGGTGAAACCGCACAAAGATCCCCAAGAAAGAAATAATCGTTTCTTTAAGTAGGTTATTTTTATCGCTGTAGCATTCCTACTTGCCATGAGGGAAGGAAATTCATTCGAACAAAAAATCTTATTTACGGCCATTTCGGATATTTGAGAGAAACAAAATTTGGCTTCTGTAGAAGCGAAAGAGTTAAAATTGTAAATATTTTTAGTCGTCTTCAGTCAAGTCCCCGTTAATCTTGTTAGGTGTTATTTCTATATTTCGGGCTCAAATCAAAATAAATCTTTAAATGTTTTATGTAATTATAATTACTGAGTGTTCTAGCGCTGGCAGGTAAAGACAGCACCTTGGAGTCTGTCTATCATAAAAAAAGCTCTCGCCAGTTAGTCTGCAGCTGTCTGTTGCCGTAGAAACGAGCCTTGACGCATTTTCCGTAGGGGTTGAAGATTTACTTTTCAGTTTGCCATCTTGGCGCATTTAAAGATGAATTAGCAACCCTTGGCTCGGCCCTATTTGAAATATACTAGCCCTGTTGCTATAGAGACCGCCACCCGCCAGACACTGTGCCGGGAACTGTTCTTCTCGTAGTCAGACAGTAGAAGGTAAAGACTTCTTGACCTGAGCTTTAAAATAGTTCTTAACACGATTAACGCCTAAACTTCTATTTGCGATCCACGGGGGGGGGGATGAGCCACAGTGGTCAACTCCGGGCGACAATGAACAAGGTCAGGTTTATGACCACAAGCAGGGCGACCAGGAACCAGCTGGTCATCGAAAAAAAACTAAGACAACATCAGTCCCCTGACTGACCAATGGAGGCGAACCCCCGAGAACAACCATTTTAATATCAAATATGCAGCAATCACACAGTTCGAGACAGACTTGACAATACCGTTGCGGTTCCCGTCTCGCCTGAACCGAATCGATGGCTTTAGTCTTGTGATGACAAATTGTGTTCCCCAGGAGCCGAGTATAAGTGCAGGTCTCAGCTAGAACCCCGGTGATTACCTGCCCCCTGTCCCAGTCGACCTCCAGGGAGAGACAGGTAAACATACAAGTTGAGAATTTGCGCGATAGTTTAGAAAGTAAAACCAGTGTTTAGATTAAGTCATATTGAGTTTAACGTTTATAAAGCAAGTGCGCGACAAGTCTTAAGACATGTTCAGACCAATAGTTCCCAATTTGGATGTTGTGAGATAAGTTCTGGGGGAGGTCACAAAAAGTTTTGAAGTTCACCTTCTTTTCCTCGTTGAGAAATTATATAAATTGAATGGTAATTGTGAATTAATTTACATTATCGATTGATTGCTAATAGTAGTAGAAGTTTACCTCTATCGCTTAGTTATTACTTTTCTAAACTAGTTCAATTTTTTCCGCACCTCCTTTACTTTCAAATTCACTCTGTACATGAAAATCAGCCGCAAAATTAAAAACCTTGGAAAACACGGCGGTCAGATCATGCGAACCCCTCGAGACGTTTTGCGCGCGCAGGATTAATGAGCACATGTGTAAACGGTCATGTATCTTTTTTGGTTCCTGAAAATTTATGGTTCACCAGTAGCCGAACAGTAAAAGTACTGAAAACTGGTAGTTTGACTCCAATTTAAATTCTGATGAAAGGGGTGGCTGACTGGGCATTTTTTAGGGGGGTCATGTGTAACGTGGATATGTACCTGTTTCCTTTAGAAAATCTTCCACGAAGGCATCAACCCCCTAATGCAAATAGTCGTCATATGCTTTGCCGTAGTCAGTAATTACTTAATTTAATAAGCAATGGATATGTACGCTGTGAAAAAAAAAAAAAAAAGAAAGAAAACAAAAAAAAAAATCTGTTTTTGAACAACTAATTATGGAAAGTTTTCTTGTTAAATTTTTAATTATTATGTAAAAATATATGTATATATTTCCCCTTCCTAGCTCCCAAAGTTTTCGTTTGAGCCAAAACTTCAAACAAATTCGTGAAAAAATATATTAAGTGATAGCCCAAAACATCTCAATTTTCGTATTTAAAATATGATTAAAAGCAACATATCATAAGCACATATAATGTGATTAAAAACAATATATTACATTTATGAACATTAAATGTTTTTTTGGAATTATGTCAAACGCAAAGAGAACAAACTCATTATGAAGATGAGCTCTCGTCATAAAGCAATTAAATATATTAGACGCAATTCTGAATTTTGTGTCCGTTTCACTCTTGCGAGGATTCTTTTTTGCAAATCAAAGAATACTGCCACCAACTGTTATCGTTGCGTATTATTTTTAAAGGAATAATATTGTAAACATAAATAATAAATATAAAAAACGTTATCGCAGCACATAACTCTCTTTTGAGAAGTTTAAAGATAAATTGCCTTTTAAGATTTTGTTATTAAATTTTATGTGGTGTGCGAACGAAGAAAGTGATGTTTCGTAAACAAAGCTGAAAGGGGGAAAACGTTGTCAGCTTAATAAAAGAAACTAAACATGGATATGCACTGAGAAAAGACTGGAAAACAATATATGGCAACACTTAAAAACACTCTATCAGGAGTTCTAAGGATATGTTGCTTTTAAACTTTTGTGTTTGTTAAATCACAGGCTTGTGAATCCACTGTATGATCAGAGATCGATGCGATATTTTCAAATCAAAGCATAAGAACGGATGTGTACTGCACATGAGCACGTATGGTTATTATTTTCTATTATGACGGAATAGAATAATAAACAATGAACAGTGTTTATAAATTAAAACTGAGTGATAAAGTTTGTAAACATATTAGAATTTGTATACACACGATCAACCAGTTCCATGTTTTAAACAGCAACGAGCTTTTTAAGTAAAGCGTTCTTTGATACTTTACCTAAAGCTCGTTGTTATTAAAAACATCGAAATGGCAGGAGGTCATGGGTTGACAACATAAAAAATTTTTTATTACTGATAATGTTTGTTCATGGTTGCATTCTTTATTTGATATTATTCTGTTTAATGAAATCTCAATGCGTTAAATTTTAACATACAACTTAAGGAACTCAATTTAGTTAAATAACTGCTGTTTAAAATGAACACTAGGTGAAAAAAGCAGACAAGAGTCATTCCCATCTTATCTTTGACAATTAATATTATATTATTTTTATACATCAATTCTTTTTCAACTCTGGTCTAGATTTTGCATTTTCCGCGTTATGTGACGTATTAGTATTATGCTATCGCAGCATTCATTACCCCTATCTTGGCAAATTGATTGTTCTAGAAGTTGTCGGTTTTACATCAAATAAACTTTCATTTTAACTTAGCTATAACTTTACATTACATATCATTTGTAACAAACTGAACAAATTAAAAATACAGAAAAAAAAAATCTGACAGCTTTCAGATTTTACAATACGCCCAAAGGGGGCGTTTTTTAACGTTTTGTGTGTTGTCTTTGCTTATTAAATATCGTGTTCTTCGCATTTAAACCACAAAATTCAATTCAACAGCAATATCACAAAATATTTAAAAGAGCATATCTTTAGAATTTCCGATACACAGTCTCGCGTGATGAAGGAAAAAAAAAAAATTTTTTTTTTCGTACGATGTTGCTATTGCTCGCTTTGAAATCGTTAAGTTTGATAATCAAAAATTCTTTACTGTTTGACAAAATATGAAATAGATAATAAAACAAATTACAAATTTGGGCTTCCACATGCCCATGGCGCCCCCCAGCGGCCGAGCGGTCAAGACGCTGAACACTGGTAGTTCGGTCCGAGGTACGAATCCCGCGAACGGGCTGGCTGCATGGGCGTTTTCGTGGTTTTCCTCATGTGTAACGTGTATACGAGCCAGTTTCCCTTAGAAAGTCCTCCATGAAGGCATCCCTCCCATTAGACAGATAGCCCTCGTTTACTTTGCCATAATTGAATAATCCAATCCAATCTACATGCCCATGTTCGAATGTAGGACTACGTTATTCAAAATTTGATGTCTCTAGGTGCCGTTGTTTTTTCACAATGGGAGAAACCTACATACAGTTTTGCAGATTCTTCATTATTTAATTTCTTTAAATATAATGCAAGGCTCTAATATTTGGTGGCAACAATTAGAAAAGTGAACCGATATTTATAGTGAATCGACGGAAACTGCCAAAACGAAATTAATAAATAGTCCTTCTGGGCAAATTATTCATTTGAGCTAACAATATATCTACTTATTATATTATCTAATTCATACTTTTTAGGGCATTTACACTATGAACGTAATTAATAATAGACGTTCGAATTTTATACATTTTACGTTTGGTTAAAAGATTACCATTTGCACACGCTCAGCAACAATTTTTTAAATAAAATGCTCAACAGTTTTAAAGTATGAAAGAGAAATTAGATAGTTATCAATAACGATTATCTTTGTTTATTCGCTTTTTTTTATCAACTAGCCAATAGCCGATGTCTTAAGCTTTTACTTCCTCTGTTAATTCTTCCTCTTTGTTTATTTTCGACACAGTCATAAATGCATTTTTGCTTCCAGATCGCGTCATTTCCATCATCACAGTACATCAGGAATCGAGCTTTCACTTTCAGTTTAATACAGAAATGATACGCTAAGGTAAAAAAATGTGTTCATCGAGTTATCATCGCCTGATTCAAGAGGTTAAATTAGTTTCCTCTTTCATCCAAACCCATGCTACCCAGTGGAAAGGTCAAAGAGATCACGTGTTGCTGATTTAGAAAATAAAAGGCAAAAAACTGTAGAAACATCGAGAAGTCATTTCGCTTAGTCTCCAAACGATAAGTGAGGTAAGTTAACTCTCAGATGCTCTTTCTGTTAGTTGTTTCAGCCAAAGCAATGTAATATCCATAATTTCTGCCCCCGAATGTTTTCAAGCTGTTGTATTTCATTCCTGTAAATAATTTCGCTTCTTGATACAAATCTAGGAAATAAGTGAAAATTTGTATTAAGTCTGTTAAGGATTAAGATAAGTAGCAATAATTAACGAAACGAAGCTCAAATAAACTGTAACAATGATAATGGAATTCTGGAGTATATTGTTAAGAGGTTGTTTTGTGTTGAACATATGTTTTAATCATATCTTTATCAGTGCATATTAAAATATTATCTTATCATTATTTTATCTCTCTTTTGAAAACGAAAGTATACTTTGTTCTTGAAACGTGAGCGAAACGATCAACCGCGGCCTGCTGTTGTCTTAGTCTCTTACATCATATTAATTCCGTAATAACTGTCTTTTCATTTTGATATATTATAAGAATTAATTTGGTGCTATGGGAATGCAGTCAAATGTGGAATTAGCTAGGTAACAGCGGGCACAAATGGTGACTCCTTTTTGTACTTTCGTTCTAGATCAAGTAAGGGACGTAGGATCGGAGCAAGTCTATAAATTTAAAATAGAAATTTTCTTTTTCATTTATATATCAAAATCCTAATTAACTGCCTTTAGTCTGCAGATATGCGTTTTTTTATGTGAGGCAGTCTTCGTGACAGCCGGGTAATAGAGTCTCTTTCTCCTGGTGCATTGTGGACGCATTCAATGATTTTAGATTCAGAAATTCAAAGGAAAACGAGCTGCCTGCTGCCAGGTTCAGTTCCTCCCTGCTCAATCTCCAGTTATATGAAGACATTGCGTGCTGGTAAATGAAACAGCATTAGGTAAATGAAACACGGGCAAAGAGTACTTTGTACTTTTCATCTCCCTCCCATAATGCGAAAGAATTAATACATTGAATGGTGTCCCATTGCAACTGCAAAAAGAGAATATTCGATAATTATCAAGAAATTTAGCGCAATTAAGTATTTTTTCTCAGTATGCTGAAGACGCTTTTTCTGCACTAAAGTTTACGTTGTAATATTCATTTAATTTAAAACTCTTTCGCGTCGGCGCACCTTTGTTTAAGACGCTCGTGCGGGACGGAAGGAAATCGAAGGCAGTCACCGTACAGGACGGAGGTTTTGCATTGCTAAGCCTAATTTTTATAAAAAAAAAGTTTCACTTCTAGAACCGTGATTTTTGGTATCATTTTAGATTATTACTTAAGCTCTTATATATGTTAAAATTAGCACTTAATAACGTTTTTTTCTTCATTTTACATGAAAATATACTTAAAAAAATTGCTTATCTTGTAAAATAATTTTCGGAAGCGCTATTCAAATTCCCGCCCACCCTCGCAACAGTTGATGTGTAAAATACTAAAGTCCGGCAGAATATATCAAACTCAAGGTCAGGAACCTAAAACTGTGTTCATTTCAAAAGTAATGGACATAGGATGCCATCTAGTGGCCTTCAGAAAAACGTTCCAGCTTAAAATGCGCAAACGCGTCACCCGTCCGCTGAATGCAATCTCTAGCGATGCGTGGATGCGACGCCCGCCTGTAAGAGACGTTCTTAGGGAATGCGTATATGGGAGGCCCGTCCTGAAAGGGAAAGGTAGCTAGTCCTTATTTCTGAAAATTTTTAAAGTTCTCATATAGCAAAATATTCTATATGTAGTATTAAGTATCGTTTCTAGAAATTTAAACCTCGGATGAATATAAAACTGAGTTATTTTTAAAGCACATACTTTAATAGATACTTAGCTTTTGAAATTCCTGTAAAACAGAAAATAATAAAAATTGCATAACTTGTTCCTAAACGGGGTAAATACAAAGATAGGAGCAGAAAATATTTTCAAACTACATAATGCAAAAAAAAAAAAAAAAAAAAATCATGTGATAGTTTTGGCCGTTGCAGTTGTTTGATAGTGACATAATACATGCTTAGACTATAGACGAATTTAGAAATTGCTGCAACTATTAATATAGTTATTTAAAAAGAAGAAAAACATTTCACTGTTTATATTAAAACAAGTTTAGAGCTTTCTACGCATGAACGGTCTAGAAGAGATTTTCATTTCGATCAGCAAATGAAAAGTCCCACCAAAGCTTTATAAAGGTGAAGTAATAAAAATAAAGAAATTTTAAACTGGTTGGTAAAATTTCTGGTAGTTAGCAATTCTACCTATCTAATTAAACAAATGCCTTTTTGAAGATATACAACACAATAAACAACAACACGATGTGTCATGGCAATGTTAAGCAATCCGATATAGTACAAAAACAAATTTCACTTTAGCTTTCGCACCTGGCTGTTTTTCCTGCCAGCTAGGCACTTAAAGTAACTTAACCATCCTGCGCAGAAAGCGGTAATAATATTGCAGCGAAAATTGTTCCGTGATCGAACACATCGTGGCTCAGAAGGTAAGACTTTGGATTCGGAAGCTAAAGCTTCCGAGTTCGAAACCCGTCAAAGACAAGGTGCCTAAAAGTTAGTTACTGTTTAAATTTCCTTCTTGGTAATTTGTTTCCTTTATTTTCCATATACTGGAAGGTTTTCTGTATATTATAGAACGTTCCAAGTCTAGAATGTTCCCGCTCATTCATTGCGTGAATATAAGTGGTTTCCTTCAGTTCGAATAATAAAGTCTCGAGTTAGAACTGAGTGCTCGCCTTTTCATTTGTACGATTACTTTATCTACGCGACAATATGACTTTTAATAAATTAAACTAGCGTTATGCTTATTCGAGGCAACACGTAGCATTCCCTCTAATAAGCCTGAAGTAAAGAAACAACAATGGTTGCTTCGGATGAGGAAGGACTAAAGATTTGGTTTATTTGATTTATCTGAATAAGGCAAAGCACTTGAGGGCTATCTAAGGGATACCTTTGTGGAGGACTTTCTAAGAAAATTGCTTCGTATGTACGTTATACAGTGAAAACCATGAAAACGCCCAAGCAGGCAGCCCGTTCGCCGGCATTCGAGCCCCGGCCCAAACTACCGGTGTTCAGCGACTTTACCTAGAGATTTTAATCAGTATGTTGATAACATAAATAGATAAAATTACATATATTTTCTAAATTTAAAGAAGAGAAGAAAAAATAAGCAAATTTATCCGGAAATATTTCCTATTACTCAAAGTGATGTAAATACAATTCAAAAATAGGTATGGATACCATAGAAATGAAAAGCGATTCCTTCGTTTGTTTCAATCAAAAAGCATAATCAGCTAATATACAATAGTTGAAAGGACTTATTCATAAAAGAATAGAATGCGTATGGATGGAAATGGAAAATTCGTTATAATATATGTGAAATTATTTATAGATCCAAGCAAAAATGTGACAGATCTAATCCTCATAAATATCAATGAGTTTTCTAGATGAACAAAGATTTTTATCTTAGAGTGTAATTTTGACAAAATGGTTTTAATAAAATTTAAAGAAACTGGACTTTGAATAATTATTAACTAAACATTACTAGTGATTTTTCTTTATTTTTCACTTAAGGTGAAAAATGAACTTATACATGAATTAAATCTATAGTATAAATATTCAAATCATTATAAGTGAAATGTTTACTTCATTAGTTCGATCAGTATTAATATCAATTATACCAGCGGAACGACGTTTTCCTCAACTATAAATCAGGAATTAAATAATTTGATTTGATAATTAATTATATATGAATGTATACCTTAGTGCAATCTTCATAAACCGAGAAAAATGAATTTGTGACTATGTTTTATACTTTTTAACAATCTTAACTAATTTTAAAGTTTTATACAGACTTCTACTTCAGTTTTCAAAAGTGGTGAATTTTGAGCTTCAAAGTTAATACGCTTTTTAAGATTGTTTTTAAGCATCATGCTCTTTATTGAAATTTCAGAATACACCCCTGATATTTGTTTATGATGTTTAGAAGATGTTTGAACATATTTTTATTCATGAAAATAATGTGAAATATTTTGAATGTGTGAGTTAATGAAAATAGTGAATAAAATTCAAAATTATAAAACGTGGTTTTCTTTATAATATGCATTTATCTTGACTTTCTTGAACACTAAGAAAATATTTTCCAACAGATCATATAAGCATAAAGTAATTAGCCGCTGTAAGATGAATGTAACGGGTAAATGCAAATTTCCAATGCAAATTGACAAATGCTTTAAGCGGGAAATGTTCTCTCCCTCAGAACAACCAAAGTCCTGAGCAGCTTGCGAAAATACAAGTTCGTTCGTTACAAAAGACACTGCTCACAAAAAAGAATTTTATAAGCAGTGTCTTTACTAATGGTAATGACTGGTATTTAATCCTGCGAACCTTAAAGGTATATGCAGGGCTTATTGAAACTACTAATTGATTTAAAATCAACCACCATACTGTACTCGTTACTGGCCGGAAGATCCCTTAACCTCGCCAACAAACTAAAATACTTTATTAATGAAACAACTTGTTACAACAAATATAATAATACATAATTTTTAATCAAATTAAAATTAACATATTCCTAATTTAGGGAATAGAACACTTTTCCATATAATAGTACAACATATAACAAATGACATCCTTTGTTGTAAAAAGATTATTTGTACAACAATGTATAATCTAAGTTTTTATAATACACAGAGACCTTCCAACAAAATGAATAACTTTTTCAATTTGTTTTTAACATTTTTAAACATAAAAATTTACAATTGTCAATAATAATTCATAATCCAAAATTATTCACCATTTTTTTTCTTTTTCTTTCTTTTCCTTCCTTTTCTTTTTAAGAGAACATTACCCATAGTCAGTCCTTATTATAAGATCCATTTGTCTTCTAAAACAGGAACAATTTTTATCTAAGCTTGAATGCTTAGTTTCTAAATCTAATTTATATTTATTGTTCGCTTGTACGCAATTAATGCATTCAGGTTCATTTTTGCATTCCCAATAATTGTGTCCTTTCTTCGAACATTTTCCGCACATATCAAATCTTTGACACATTTACTTTGAAAACGACCATAACTCTTGACATTTAAAACATCTTATAACATATTTAGATATTCTTTTACTGTGATTCTATACCATTTCAAATTAATTTTATTTTGGTTTTATAATCGGACCAAACTTATCTGGTTGAATATTTGCTACCCAATGTACTTTTTGATTTTTAGCTTTTATTTTGAACAAAAGTTCAATTCCTCCATTTTCAAATATTTGATTTTGTCTCTTAATTGCTTCCAAAATTTCACCTTTATCCAATTCTTCTTTATACTCATCCACATTATACAATATAATTTTAGGTTGTTTCTTTTTAGGAGCTTTTACTTGAATTTCATCTTTTAAAAGAGAATTCGTTTTTTTATTGGTATGCTTCGTTTATTTTCTAATGAAACAATATCGTCTTTTTTTTCGAACATTGTACAACCAATCCTCCATTATTCACTTTTCTAACATTTTTAATACTACCAATCTTCAACTCAACTGGGTCAATAATTTTCTACCACTTTTGATTTTAACTTCTTCAGAAGAAGTTCCCCTTTTTACTTGGATATAGTTAGAACAACATGTTCTTCTATTTTCTTAGTTTTTCCTTTATTCTGATACGTTTTCTTATCACTTATTTTCTGCTTTCTCTTTAAAACCTCAGCAAAAGATTCTTTCATATTGTGGTTTCTTTATCCCAATATTTCTAATTTTTCCTTTTAAATTTTCGATCTCCAATGCTTGAGATACCAAATAACTAAACAACACTTCTTGTGTGTTAAAAACTTTTTTCTTATTGCATTTGTAATTGTAATTCTACTTGCATCTTCCAAACAAGTCTCTAGCTCGCTAATTATAGTCCGAGCTTCTTCGATCAAATCACTTTGCACAACAGTCTCTGTCTGAACTTTCTTATCCATTGTCAATCTCTTTTGAGGTTTGAATTTAGACCACCTCCCTTAGGAGATGGAGCCCTCAGACCACGACAAGGTACCAAACCCCGGGAAGTGTTTCTATTGATTATCAAAGTTAAGTATAAAAATACTTTCCAATAATAAACGCTTTTCCAATTCAATCAAAATGAGCCAATAACTTCCCCTGAGGGTTACTAATGGTAAGTGCATCAGTTATCGTTTGAAGGGACATATCGCAATTTTTCTGCAAGAATTCGAAAGTTTTTTGTGTTCACATCCATCCAGGACTACAAAAGGTGACCATTGCTATTCTTTGCTCGGTTTTTGAATCCGTAACAGTAGCTATTCATTGGTTCAACGAAAAGATAACTGAATAGAAAATTTTGTCCGTGATCCTGTACGAATCCTAACTTATTATATACTAATATCTGAATCCATGACTTACTGCCCCGTCTTAATCTCCCAGTAAAAAATATCGAACACAGTAACCAACACAGAAAAAGGGCTTAAAATCAATTTTTTTTATTACTTCAACAGACTTCCCAGCTTGCGGGAATAACAAAGAAACTTAAAAATTTCAAATATTAAAATAAAAGCACGCCCACAAGTTTCGGCTTAGAGCCTTCAAACTCTTGCGGGCAGTTAAGCCGATTCAAGTATCAGGGACTGAAAGAAATAATAACGATACTCTCAGCGATAGCAGCTGGAAGTTGTCGCTTAAACTCAACTCCATTCTTAAATGCATTAACTAGTTTTTCATACTGGTGTAGGAGTAGACGAAAGCAAAAGTGACAGTAAAGGCAAATCGCTAAGGATCTGATGTATCAACATAAAACCTTACAAGCACACGATATTTCATGAACAGCAAGTTGAGATAATATTGTATTGTCAGTCTATTAGAACAAGTATGTTTAACTGGAAGTGGTTGCTATAATAACACACCTTATATATTTCAACCAGGTAGAAATTCTATTTCTGAAATTCTATTTATGATTTCTTGTTTCTGGCGCATGTGGTTTGCTAGCAAGATGAAACAACATCATTACGAGCATTTTATTCAAAGCAAAAATAACAATAAAGGTTTCCAATTCATCATTAGTCGAGTCAAAATGGGAAATATAAATGCATTTCTTGAATTGTGCCCCCCCCCCAAATGGGTTAGGGTTTGTTTCTATGGCTACAGGTAGTTGTAGACTTCTGCCGGGGAGTGTTCTTGTAATAGGCAAACAGTAATAAATTCTGTCACCTATCTCTTGGCAGGAAATCTTTGTAGATGCACTGAGTGAGAGCTTGTATTAAATCATCAAACTTATATAAGGAAAATTTTTTTATTATTATATTTAGCTGTGTTCTCAAATTTGTATGTATGATGATGGTGGCGGAGTTATTGCAGAACAATATGTCTTGGAAATTTACAGCTGTGATCGGAAACATGCGATACTGGTATTGTGCGATAAGTGATATATTAACTTATGCGATATTGATATTTCTCCGAGGACGAAATTAACTGATTTGACTGTAAAATCATTTTGTATTTTTCAGAAGCAAAATGCTGAAACTTGCTGTTATATTCGCACTTTTTACTTTTGCACTGGGATCTCCATGCTTTGGAAGTAATTCTACATGTTCAGGTAAGTAAAAATGGATATTATGATATGAATTATGAATATATTTATTTTTGAGACTGTTAAACAAGCTCTTATTATTGTTAACCTCTAAATGTTTAGATCCAAAATTAAACAAAAAAGAGATTGGGAGAAATAGCAGTACTAAAAATATGTAATCAAACTTTACTTCTGGCTGTGAATATCTTTCGTTTGAACTTATAAGTATATCAAAAATTTATATTTATTTTAAAGTAGTCTTTAATATAATTTTGTTATGATTTTGAGAAATTCTAGCAAAATAAACGTGTCAGTTAATTTTAGTATAAATGAGTGGCGAAACATTTCCTTGAACACGGAGAGCATCAATTTATAAATTCTATGCTGTGAAATGAATGCTTATTGTACAGCCCAACATATATAATATAATAATGGATTATTCTACTAACTATATTACGAAAAGTTAGTTTCAGTTTACACAATTTGTTTAGAAATGTTGCTTCTGACTTCATTTCCTTCCATAATTATCTTAAACTTATGTATAGCAGATTAAAAAAAAAAGTAAAGCAAACTTCTAATTTTGATTTTAATTTGGGTAATTCCCACTCCTGTCCTAAAAGTATTAATTATTTATAATATAGCAATCTAAACTGCGTCATTTTGAAATTAATCCGCATCATAAGATCTTACGCAATGCTGCAGTGCAGAAACCTTTTATCCAATCACCGAATAAAATTTGTATTGAAAACAGAAACTTTTTAACTCTCTCCTAGCATTCTTTTGAAATGCGGCGTCACTTTTCGCAATCCGCTTCGCTCTTCCAAACTTGCCGCTACCTACAACCTTCATTATATATTTCTCAAATTTATCGATATCGGTATAAAACGTTCTTTAAGAACAAGGCACGATTGGGCCCATTTCATTTACGTTGAATTAATAAAAAATGTCACCAAAACATTGATAAAAAGAAAATAATTGAAATTTTCAGATTGCCATGGCGTTGCAATGTATAATGCGTAGTTGCAGTCAAATGTCGCCGTCGTGACAATTAAAAACATTTTACTTCTGAATAAGAACAATTCTTTAGAAGCACGTACCCATTATAAATCATTCATCACAATGAGTGCAACCTACGCACCTACACCCCACAATTTTATATACTAATTATCACATGCTGAGACAGTGAGCAATACAGCGGAGCAGGGAGCCGCGCGTTAGGAGAGAACAGCAAGCATTAAAAAAAAAAAGAAAATGAATGCACACTTTAAGCAGGGCCTACACTAAGATCGGAAATCCTTTATCTAAGATCTGAACGGCGATTTGCCAAGAGTTCTACGCACTGTAGATGACTGCAGGTGCCATAGTGGAAATTATTTTTTCAGTGGCGCAATTTAGAAAATGTTATTACTATTTTTAGAATAGAGAGGGGAAGTACCCAAATTAAAATGAGCAAGACAGCTCCAGAAATCCTAGACCCTTTGATTAGAAGATGAATGTATTCCCATTCAATGGGATTTCCTTGAGTCCCGTGAGTGTTCCCTAATGAGTGGTTCAACTATAGTAAAAAAGGTTCTCCTCTCCTATTAAAGTTAAGAACATTTTGAAAGAGTGAGAAGACTCCTTGTAAACGTTATGAAATTTTTTGTGTGGTCTATGTAAAGAAAACTTCCTATTCAGGAAATAAAATAAATCTTTTCGGAGCTTCCGAATGAACAATTTCCTCAAGATGATAATATTTGAAAGATCATTTCTGACATCAAAAGCATAATTGTCAATATATTCCATAATTATGCAGTTATGTTTTATGATGGCTACTACGCTATTCAGCCAAAACCATCAAATATGTTCATTTCGCTAATAAACTGAAATATTTGGTTTATGAAGGAAATCAAGCAGTTACAGTTGTAGTTTTGACTACAACAACAAAACTATTTTTATAGGAAAAAAGCAGTTTGTAGTTTCTAAATCATTAATTTTATTTTATCTTAAAATAACATAATTTATCAAATATATTTGATTTGGCAGTTCTGATACTGCATTGTTTAAGAGTTTCATTGCATTCTGGACTTACGGCGGCCTGATTTACGGCGATTCGCTTTTGCGATAGCCAAACACTAAGATTTAAATTACTCTAAGTTTACCATATGCACTTTGTTTTTTCACGCAAAATTCAACATGGTCTTTAAAACGTCCCTTACCTTTGATGATGTTCATTGTTTTTAATAATTTAGTTGTCGTGGTAAGTAAAAAGTTCGGAATGAATGTTTCTAGGCTGCATATAGCAGTTCTGTTTGTAGTAAATTAATAAATTGAACACGTCCAATAGCTCTGTAGGGACCGTGACATCCCTAGCGGAAAATTAAAACATTTATCAAATATAAGCGAGTTATGGAGCGAAGTAGGAGAAATTTATCAAATAACAAAGATGTGTAACATTATCTATTTACACCGGCATATAATAATACTCTAGCATGCAGTAATTGGTAGTTTAAGTCACCCAGTCTACTGCTCCCCACCATATATAACTGGACCACTTATATAATTTATATCAGTATGAATGTTAAATTTAAAATCTATTCGAAATTGGGAAAAATAATTGCTGTATAATTTTCTTCAAAACTATTGGATCGTAAAAGAATTCTGCGGTCGACTTGGTGGAATATGTCGTATGTATGTAAACACAGATACCACATTCCTTGGTGGAATATGTCAATTAAAATTTGCGCTCCATTAAACGACATCTTTTAAAAAACACATAAACTAAGAACAAATAGGAAGCATGAACATTTCAAAAATTAATAAAAAAAATGTTGTTTGTTGTGCATCTCAAGTTATTTTTTGTCATTCTGTGAGAGCTAGAATTTTTAGCCATGCGTTAGGTAAGTTGTGCTAATGGAGATACAATATTAGTTCGCACGGTCCTTAAAAGTCCTTAATTTTTTCAAAAATGATTTTTGGTCCTTAAAGTCCTTAATTTTGGCCAAAACGGTCCTTAATTTTGCTCATTTGACATTTCTTATCATTTCTAATGATTGCCATTCTAAGTGTGAATTACGATTTCTCATGAATATGGAATTAAAATTACACGGCTCTTAACCAATCTGTTGGCGGATTTGCGTTGCAAACGATAAAAAAAAACAATTAGCTACCCGAACGAAAGTATCGGTGTCTGATTGGCTATTCACCCAATCTTTCGAAACAGGTGTTATCCATAAATTTAGGCAGATTGTGACGATGAAATTTTTATCGGGATTATGAGTTTATTTCTGCAGAGGGTCTGTTATCGATTTCGCGGGAAATCTGTTGGCTCCATTTCGATTTTAGGTCGCCAAGGGCAAATTCGGTAACGCTAGCCGAGAAAAAGAAAAAGTGAAGTTCGGAAATACGTTTTGAAGCTTCAATAGACAATTAAGTATTTGGTTTAAACCTATGTTGTTTGATAGTAATGCATAATTTTTGCTAATGGCGATACAATTATTAGTTGAAAATAACTAATTAAAATTTTTTAATATTTTTAAAAGCTGAAAACAACTAATTGAAACTAATTTTCCTGAATTAACTAGACGCAAAATTAACTTTCATGAATTACTAAAGTTATTGGGTAGAAGTTTAACTGAAAATATACATTCCGTATTATATATATATATATATATATATTATATACAGTGTACAAAGTCCGAGGTCTGGACTCGTCGGGACTTCGGCGATCCTAGATTTGAGATTTTTCCGGATATTAGATCATTTTAAATCTACTAAGATGGCACGTAGAAATTATAAAATTGAAAATATGAAATCGTGATTTATGAAATAATGAAGCATTTATGATTTAAAGGGTATCAAAATTTACCAAAAAAAAAAAAGCTTAATATTTATATGTTTACTTTATTAAACATTTCTTTCAATGTGAGTTGTTTGATTTGTTTTCTCTGCTAATACTTTAGACTAATACTATAGACATATAATTTCTTGTTCAGTTATTAAGTTCCATTGTTCAAGTCCTGTAATTGCTGTGTCGAGAATTCCGAATAACTTGTCAATCAAAATTTTTTCTCGTTCAGTAACCTCTCTGTTACTTTCTTCACTATCGGTAGCTGTATTTTCTGGATTTAGAACCATACTACAGATTTCGCCCTCCGTTAATTGATTGATGATTGGGCATTGTCATCGCAATGAAAAACTTCTGTTTAACTTCGCTAAATTCTGCCGCCTGGTGCGGCCATGCGAGCTCTGGCGCTGGTTCTGGCTTTATGTGAATAACAAATCAGTTATTCTTAATTCAAATAGCACTAAATATAATCGTTTGTCCTATGAGTATCATTAACAAAATCTATTTTTAGCATAAGGAAAGAAATTTCTGCTAAATCTCCCCTTGTCAACATTTTAGCGCATTAAACTTAAATCTGTAATCGGATAATACTCTGTTATTTGGCGTCGCGCTGCATGATTCATCACTCAAGTTGTCATCCGTTGATAAACATGCGGTGATGAAAGCAAAATACAATAAATAATGATTCGCGATTTCGGCATCAAGGATATAAAATATTAGTTGGTGTAAAATTAACAAATGTTTCGGTTTGAGATTATGCCAAGCAGATACGCAGCTATGGAGTCAAGTTACTAATCACACAAATTTATGCTAAAATAATTATTTCTTCAATAATGAGATATTTTATTTAGCGCCAAACTGAGATTAAGAATCGGGATTTCCGGCATGTTTTTTTATGATGAGGAAAAAAAAAATCTAATGCGCAATTGGTTGGTGGTGGTGGCTTTGAGGTCCGGATTTTAGATCATTCCAGATATTAGATGTCCGGATCTCGGACTTTGTACTGTATATATATATATATATATACATCTTTCAAAATATAACTTACCAGTATGGATTCACTCTTTTAAAATAATTCTACTTTAATTAAACTTAGGAGATAATATAATCAATTAATCAATATTGTTTAGGAAATAAATTATATATATATATATATATATATAGTAAAAAATGTATATTTTCACTATTCAAGTATTCACTGTGACAAGTATTCTTATCTTGTCACATGAACAGGCCTCTGTGGAAAGGGGCTTCTCTGTAAATAAAGCAATTGAAATTGAAAATTTAAGTGACTCATCATACATTTTTCAACGCACAGTATTTGATTACATAAAATTTTCTGGAGGTGTTCTTAATATCGAAATTAATAAAGAAATGAGATCAGCAGCAGCTTCTGCAAGAAGTGGAGTTCGTTATTTAGAAGTTCAGTATTTAGAAGAACAAAAATCTTTAACTAAATCTGAAAATTCAAAGAGGAAAAGAAAAAGAAATATTATTGAGGAAGAAATTGATTATATGAAGCAGAAGAAAAAATTTCCTTCAAAGGGACATTAAAGACATTAATGAAGAAGTAGATGATGCTTTAGCAGATGAAAGCTGAGACCAGCAGGAACATTGATTTGTTTATCAAAGCAAATGAACTTAGAAGAATAGTTAAAGAAAAAGGAAGATTTCAGATTTAAAAAAAGCACAAATGTTTTGTATCTTTTATTGTACAGTTTATTATTCTAGTATCTTTCAAAAAACCAAGGAAATAAATTGTATGTTTACAAATCAGTTATTTTAATCTGCAAAATATTCTTACATTGTGATTATAATAGTAGTTGACTGTGTTTAAAAATAAATATCAAATAAGTTAAATAATAATCATGTAAATCTCTAAAATAGTGACTGTTATTAGTGTAAAATACACTTATACATGTTTTTCAAGAAATTATGTTCCTAATTTAATGTTATCTACTTCATAACTTGTAGGGAGTTAGTTTAATTTTCAAAATTGTTTTATGGTAAGTATTAAATTGAATTTAATAATAGTGCATAATACACACTTCTGTTAGTTTTTTAAAGTGAAATTACAAGCATGAAGTCGGTTGTATGGATAATTGCTTTATTCTATTCATTTTTTTGTTTGCTGATAGGTCCTTAATTTTTTCTTTGATGGTCCTTAAAAGTCCTTAAAAGTCCTTAATTTTCATATAAGGAAATGTGTACGAACCTGAATTTAGTTTATAGGTATTTTAGTCATTTTCTTTTAAAATTTTATTTGTTCATTTTCAATTGTTCTTTGGTGAGTTAAAAACAGAAGCTTGGAAAAAGTTTTTCGAAAGTCAAGATCTCAATCGATTTCGAGGGCTAACAGGTACTAATCCTTTTTCGTCAGGAGCAAAGAAATCTGCAAGACTGAGTCTTCTATTTTCAACCAGAACTCTAGTTATCCTTCTAGACTAAGCAAAAATAACCTTGTTGTTAATTTATGTTTTTGAGTCTCCTTATCCTTTTCCTTTGTTTCGTATATTTGAAAAGGATAATATAGTAAAATATATACTTTTTTTAAAAAAATAGTCTAAATTTATGTGTACAATGTGTATTGACTTAAAATATTCTGCTGTCCCGCAGTGAAACTGATAAACCTTTCCGAATTCCTTCTGTAATGTAATAAACACACGCTTCTCAACATTTCCAAGAAAAGGTGGGAAAAATTTTAAATCGAAAAAAACAGCAACCTTAGTTTACTGTAGACATTGAGTAAAACTCTCTTGATTTCGAGGAAGAACAAACATAGGTCCCTTTCCCTTCAACGGAATAAAATTGCATCAGTGAGCATATACGGATTGTACCATTTTTTTTTTTTTTTTTTTTTTGTACTCCTTTTACGTTCTGCATACATAAAATGTCGAGCGAAACCTCCTAACCCCCCCCCCGATCGTTTATGTTTCTATATGATTTTGGCTTTCTGTGGAGATGTTTGCCTTTGAGAGGTGGTGTTCAGTACCAAGTTGGCGAGAAATCACCAACTTGTCGATCTTGTGGAAGATTAAGCTTCGCGAAAGCACATTTTCGGATCCTTATCCTTACTACCTATTCATCTAGAAGTTTCCATAGCCCATGCTGCAGGATATAAATACGGATTGGAGAACTAAAAAAAAAAATAATAATAATAATAAATAACCTTGTTGTTAAGGAGGGAAAGCTCAGTTGGGAAGCAGCTGTGACAACTAAACTACGAGTTAGGTTAGACTAGTCTATTCTAACCTCCTTGGGATTTAGCCAGAGAATGTTTTGAGGAACTTTATGATTTATTTCGTGTGCTAAGGAGGAATTGCTAAGTATCCGTATTTTGCTTGTGTTAATTTCAGTTATTATTGTGCTGCATGTGCTAGTTACTGAGGTTATTTTCCTAATAAATTGTTCATTTCTTCCTGCTTCCCTGGGCTCATTATTCAAAAAAAAAAAATGTTGTTCTCACCAACTCGCAAAATAAACCATAAATTTACCATTCTAAAAACAATAAATAAATAAAAAAAATTCTGAAAGGTTTCATATTTTAAATTACGTCCAAAGGGCCGTTATTTTAACGTTTTATGTGTTGCCTTTATTTATTAAATATCATGTTCTTTGCACTTAAACCATAAAATTCAGCTCAACAGCAATGTCGTAAAATAATTTTAAAATAAGCATATCTTTAGAATTTCCAATACACAGTTCCGCGCGCTAGTATTTGGTAGCAACGATTTGAAAAATGATACGGCCTTTTAAAGTTTTCAACGCAAATTTGCAAAACGAAAACAATAGTCCTTCAGGTACAAAGCTCCTTCGGAATAATAATAAAACAGTCAAAAGTACTAGCACAGAAACGAAGGAAAAAACGGTCAAAAGAATTAAAAGTAGTCAATTAAAATAATTCACAAATACTTATAGCAGTATTAAAATGTTATTATTCAATGTCAAAGAGTCATTGTCAAGTTTGCCTGTTTTATATTTTTTTTTACAAAAATAAAAGTTTCGATTTTGAATAAGTTTGTACATACTTATGTATACTTACAGCAGTATTAAAATATTATTCAATGTCAAAGAGTCATTGTCAAGTTTGCCTGTTTTATATTTTTTTTACAAAAATAAAAATTTCGATTTTGAATAAGTTTGTTTTATATTTGTTCTACAATAATAAAAATATGTTTTTAACTGTGCAATTTTTCAAATTTCTCTTGAAATTTAATTGAAAATAGGACCAGTATTTTTATTTAAGATTTCCTTAAATTACAACAAATGTGGTTATTCGATCAAGAGGAATTATTCTTTAGAATTTTAAAAATTTTAAGATATGCAATAAGTACTACTTTTGAAACTTTTGTAATCATAATGCAAAGTTGTATTCGCAGAATTAATATTTACATAAGAACTGATTTCATCATTACGTGTAATTTATATTGTAATTAATCAGTTTTATTACTTTACTTCACAGATGGAAAATTTTCGTGCGATCCCTCTGAGACTGAATGTGCACTTGGTTGCTGCCCAATCCAAGATGCTGTCTGCTGCTCAGATGGTTACGAATGCTGCCCTCCTGGTACAGTTTGTGTTCCTTATGTCGGCGTATGTATTAGCGTTGACTCGTCAAGTGGAAAACCAGAGCTTAAATCTGAAGAAGCAGTGGCTACGAAACAAACTGTATCTGCTTGTCCACCAGGTACCACTACATGTCCCGCAGGATGCTGTCCTTTCGAAAATGCAGTCTGTTGTTCTGATAAACTTCACTGTTGTCCAAATGGATATAAGTGCACAGATGTAGCTTGCGTTAAGAGTTCGGACAATTTGTTACTGAGAAAAATTGCATTTATTGGTAAAAAGCCTTTCTTTCAACCACAGAAGACTGTTCTGAAAGTATGTCCTGGAGGAAATCATCGCTGCCCTACGGAGAAAAACTGCTGTATAAATGATGATGGTTTATGGGAATGCTGTGATAAGCCTAGTCTTGCAAAAGGTATTTTATATACTTTATGCTCCCTTAACAAATTTGCATTCTTAAAATTAATAAACAAAATTAAATCTCTTAATCCATGACCAGGGTAAGACTTCAAACATTAACCGAATTTGCTTGGCTATATTTGCAAGATTAGGTCCCCCCCCCCCAAAAAAAAACTCCATAATCTGAATTCTCTTAGGCTTTCCCTACCCACACACATTATATTCATTATCCTAAGCATGATATGAGATTTTTATTTCCAAATTGCGATTTGTACCTCCATATCACATACTTTTCATTGTTTCATTCAAAAGTCAAAAGCGTTTGTGTTTTAATTCTGATATGAAATGTTATCTTTATGCGTATTTTGCAGCGTCCAAAAAGAAGTAATTATTTAGTTTAGACTCTTTTTTACAAATTTATCAGGGATTTCTTTCTATTTTAAACCTTCTCCACTACTACTATAATGATGTAAATATGAACTTGTGGCTTTTAGAAAATCTAGATGCGGCTCTCGAACATTCCTGAATTCAAAGTGCGGCTTTCACTGACATGAAGTTTGGATAACCCTAGGCTATAATTTAATAAATAGCGCAGTTTTTATACCAAGTTAGTTGCATTGCTAGTAGTACTGTAATATGCTTGCAAATTCAAGCAAATTAATTCTATACAAATTTCACGTTTCTCATTTTATTCTTATAATGTAACTGCACTATTTATAATTGAAAAGTGCAATTAAAACTTATGATAAACCTTTGCGTCCTGATATCACTCTGATGTGTTAGTTTTCTTATTTTATATGATTTTTTTTAAATATCCAAATTAAGAAGAAACTATGGACATATCTTTTTTATTATTATTATTTTGTATAATAAATGAGAAAGAATGCTTTCTCTCTCTCTCTTTTTTTTTTTTTTTTTTTTTTTTTTTACAACTTTTTAAACCATTTTTAACTTACTCCATTTTTATTCCTTTCTTTACTTATACCAATTTTAACTTTATTTTTATTCCTTTCTTTACTTATACCAATTTTAACTGCATTTTTATTAAACTTTTAATACCAGTTTTAACTTAATTTTCATTAGTTGAAACTTAAATTGTGAGCTTACTTTATTTTAAAATGAAGCAAGTGTAAAGCTTCTTCATGTCTCTAAACTCTTGAAATTTTCGCCGTCATTTTTACATTCTGGCCAGCAGTTTATTAGAGTGAAGTGAAGTGAATGCAAGGACTCCACTTTTCAATCGTATTGTGTATGATAACTACTGATTAATTGCTCATATTTATTTACCCCTCTCCTTAAATGTTCATGATATTTAGCTATTTCTGACTTCTCAAAACATTTTGTTTTGTTCCATCTTTCAATCATATCCTTTTGTCCCATGCGATTTAAATTTCATACTACTTAATGGCAAGCGATTCTTTTAATCCTTTCGTGTTCTCGAATTAGTTTCATTTTTTTAAAACTGAATGAAAACTCGGAACAAATTCCATTTTCTTAATTTTAAAATGAGGTTATTATTTAAACTATTTAAAAATGAGTTTATTATTATTTAGTAAAAATGGAGTTAAAAATTGGTAAAAGTTAAAAAAAAAAAAAAAAAAAAATAAAAGAAAAAAAAAAAAAAATGACTTTCTCGGCTATAAAAGAAAAAAAAATGACTTTCTCGGCTAGTATGGAAAATAAAAATATGTCCATGGTCTCTTCTAAATTTTGACATTTAAAATAAAACCACATAAAATCAGCAAACTGACATATCACAGCGATATTTACACGCAAAGCTTTATAATAACGTCAAAACCCTCGCTTCCCCCATAATAAGTTAATTAAGTTTTAGTTCCAAATTTCAGTGCCAAATATCGCAGTTATCTCATATTGTGAAAATAAAATGAGTAAAATCAAATTTATATTGAATTTTTTTGTATTTGCTACCATATTACACTGGTTATCATAAATTAAGGAAAAACACAAAAATAGCGATAACTTCCCTCAAAAATAAGCCAAATCGTGTAAAATTTGAATATGTTGCCAAGTATGAGTAGCTGAGTAAAACTGCAATATGCAAATTAGTAGCGCTGCGCTGAGAGTACGTCATCTGCGAGGAGCATAAAAGTCTATGTTTGACAGCAAGCCCACATATTTCACTGTGATAGTGACATCAGAAATCTGAGATAGCCAATTCGTAACAATGACCTCCAGGCATAATTTGCCTTGCAGAACTACGATGGACAGCCTTTGGGAGACTAAAGGCAGGACAAAGTCAAACAGAAGTGGCCATATGGCTAAATGTGAGTCCTGTGGTTCATGGACTTTGGAGGCAATTCAAAATACAGATTCGGCATCTAAGGAAGTTTAGCCAAGGACGGCCAACTGCTACGACGAGCGCTGATGAGCGATATTTGACATTATGTGCACAAATAGAACTGCTATTCCGACTCTTCTTAGATCTTCCCTTGCTGCAGCCACCGGAAGGTTGGTGTCAACGTCAGTTGTGCCTAGAAGGCTTCACGAAGGTGGTCTGCATGCGAGGTGACCAGCCAGGGACCGTTTGCAGATCTTCCCTTGCTGCAGCCACCGGAAGGTTGGTGTCAACGTCAGTTGTGCCTAGAAGGCTTCACGAAGGTGGTCTGCATGCGAGGTGACCAGCCAGGGACCGTTTGCAGTGGGCACGACAACATGTCCACTGGACGCCTGATCAATGGAGGGCTGCTCTCTTTTCGGATGAGTCCAAGTTTAGTCTAGAAAGCGATAGTAGGCGTTATTTGATATGGAGAGTACCTGGAACCCGTTATCATCCGTGAAAATGATGCATACGGAAGAGGCAGTGTCTGTGTTTGGGGTGGCATCTCTTTGGGTGGACGCACAGACCTCCATGTCTTTCCAAGGGAAACCGTGAATGCTCAGATTTACAGAGATGACATCCTTGATGCTTATGTGCATCTATATGCCGGGGCGATAGGTGATGCTTTCTTGTTACAGGATGACAACGCAAACCTCACAGGGTTCGTATCGTAGATGATTATCTTCAACAGGAAACAATTATGCGCATGGAGTGGCTAGCTCAATCTTCGGACTTGATTCCTATCGAACACGTTTAGGAGGCTTTAGGGAGACGTCTAGCTGCTTTCAATCCGCCCCCTCAGACCCTTGCCGCGCTTGCAACTGCTTTGCGAGAGCAATGGCTCTAGCTTCCTACGGAACTGATTGACCGCATAATTGAAAACTTAACACATCGCTGTTTGTGCTGTATTGCTTCTAGAGGCGATCATATTGAAGGTACTTTTCCTATAGCAAACTGAAATCTCCGATTTGTTCATTTTATACATGTGCTAATTTCTATACTACCATAATTATTTGGTAATTTCTTTTTATGTTATTTGATACCTTACTATGTGTTGTATATTGTGGGTAAGTTTCATAAAATTCTACATGTAACCTTTTGAGTAATCGTGATTTTTTGTGATTTTTCCATAATTTATGATAACCAGTGTACTAAGAATAAACGTGATGCAGATTTTTGAAACTGTATGCTGAAAGTGAGATAAAATTCTTAAAATTGTCGATTGGATATTTGTATCCTCAAAACCTTATGAATCTTGGAAAAACTCGAGATTCAAAAACTGAATTTTCGTTGTTTTTTGATCATTAGAATCTTTCAAATCCTATCCTAAAAACAGTCGGGAAGTTTAGTTTTATTAACATTCAGTAGAGACGTTCATTTAAAAAAGAAAGAAAAAAAGAACGAGGTTATTGTAATTTCAGTTGACCTGGATCACCAATATTCCTAGATGGTAGCTCTGTAAAACACACTCTGTTCTCTGACAGAATTTAGTTTGGTTGATGTTTACATTATGGTAACTTGGCGTTTTTTTGGCGAAAATTTGGCGACCAACTCTCCTACAGCAACCCTCTATTTTTTTTTTCCCGTCGCCAAGTAAATACATGTTTCTTTTCTTTTTATCTACTGAGCACTTCTTCCAACAATCTACTAGCCGAATTACACTTATGCTAGAAATTTTATCTAACAAAACTGCTTAATCATGACAAATATTCACTGCAAAATTGGGAAAAAGTGCACAATACCATACTCCTTACGCGTTTTTCAAATTAACACATACACATAAACCATGTACACGCCGACTTATTTTTACTTAAAAAAACATCCCAGAATTGCAAAAAAAAATGGCATTGCGCACACTCTTCACTATATCCATGTACACTGCTTTTTTCTCATAAATTAGAAAAATTTCACGAAAATACATGACAATTTTCTCAATCTTTAAACTTAAACCCGGTAAAAAGAACATATATGAAATTACCTGATCGCGAAAAAAGTATTACCCTTTCCAAATATGAACATTTCCACATATAAAATAAATAAAATATCCAAAACTTTTACCTCTAAATCATATATTACATTACACACGTCACCAACGAATTCATACCGCAAGCATTACAAATCAAATATTTAAATTATTTCCATGCACGTTTACTTCAACTTAAACGTGTACCAAATTCCTACAAATATAAAATTCACAAAATAACTATCATTTAATTAAAATATCACTAAACCATGTACACGTCGACTTATTTTTACTTAAAAAAACATCCCAGAATTGCACAAAAATGGCATTGCGCACACCCTTCACTATATCCATGTGCACTGCTTTTTTCTCATAAATTAGAAAAATTTCACGAAAATACATGACAATTTTCTCAATCTTTAAACCCGGTAAAAAGAACATATATGAAATTACCTGATCGCGAAAAAGTAATGAACATTTCCACGTATAAAATAAATAAAATATCCAAAAACTTTTACCTCTAAATCATCTATTACATTATAAACACGTCACCACGAATTCATACCGCAACCATTACAAATACTTATTGTCAGATATTTAAATTATTTCCATGCACGTTTACTTCAACTAGAACGTATACCTAATTCCTACAAACATAAAATTCACAAAATAACTATCATTTAATTAAAATATAATTAAATTCAAAACACTACTTAAAATATAAATGAGCAGATACATTAAATTAACATACATAATACCCATTTCGAATTAACTTTAGTTACGGCCATGGGATCCAAAAATTCACGAACACTGTTTCACACAACACAGAATAAAGCCAAATACAAAATTTCCAGATTTTTTTCCCGATTTCCCCCCTTTTCCGATTAAAGAAAACCGTAATTCGTCCCATTAATTCACATGACATATGCCATGATCTCTCATTTCCCTCACACAACATAATGCGTAATCGGAACTGAGTACTGCTCACATTATTACCAAAGTGCCAGGTAGTAACCTTTATCGCCTCCAAAATGTCGCCAAACTACTAGTTACCATATTGTAAAGATCGACCTCTAGTTTTCTGTGTTTAATATTTATGTTCTCTGTTAACTTTTAAACCCTCTCCTCCTCCTACGCTTAGGCAATTTAAAACTATTCTGAAAAAATATAATTTTTGAGCTTTTACTGAAACACGTTCTCCAAATTATGCTGAGGAAATGAACTTCAGGATTCAAATGTTTAATTTATACGTTTTAATTATTATATTCTATATGCATCTTTTTAATAAATTTAAGCGTATTTTAAAAATTATGTTCTTAATTTTTTATAAAAATCAGAAAGTTTCAAATTAAGCTTTAATTGAAAAACATTGAATATTAATCTCTTCCTCTTCTTCTAATTATCAGTGTTTGAAGTTTTGGAGAGATTTAATTCTCGAGAAACTTTAAGATTCAAATTTGAGAAAATTCACGTTTCTCCCTATCTCTGCTATTTTCTAATTGACTTTTCGAATGTTTTACGCTTTGACTAGAAACGACAGATGCATATAAAAGTGTTGTTTTCTAAAACGTCATAACCCTTTTTTTAATCAAAACTTCTTTTAAAACTGCAATTTTGAAGGTCGATCACCTTGATATAACAAGTATGTCACAAGAAATTATTGATATAAATTATAAGTTCAGGGTGCTCTTAATTATCTGGGTTAATAGATAGGAAGCAGGTCACGAATAATTGGAAAACACGCATAATCTAAACTATCAATTTCATGCATGTTGTATGTGTTAACTCTTTAAACTAACCAGTAATTTTATTTTATTTTTTTATTTATTTTTTTTTATTTTATTTTATTTATTTATTTTTTTTTGTTGTTGTTGTTGTTGTTGTTGTTGAGAGAGTTTAAATACATATTTGTCGAATTTCACTGTTTTACTGTGTGAAAACTCATTATTTTCGAAGTGCTATATATTATCTCTGTATATGAATATCCTTTGGTTGGTGAAGCCCAGTAAAGTTTCAAGGGAAGTCACTGCTGTCTTTGGAACTAATGGGTGATTCTCAGCATTCTTTGCTTATATTTTTTTCAGCATCACTCGCTGCGCTTTCAGTTCTTGTGACATACTTCCGCATCCTTCAAGCACTGACAGACTCAGTCGAATTGCCATCGAAACATTACTCGATGTTTCCTACATTGACATTTTCAATTTTTTTATATGCTGTAAGGTATCTCTCCCGCCTTCGTGCTGTGGTGGTCTGCACGCTGGGCGTTATTCCAGAGGTCCGTGAATCGATTCCCGGCGAGGGCGTTATTGTCATATAACAACATTATTGTCATATAACATCCCTCTTCACCAGGAGGAAAGAAGTAAAGAAATCGGAAGAAGGTTTAAAATCACGATGATATAATTTATCATAAGGAGAAAGCTAATTTTATGTTTTATTTTGGTGTGTTTCTCTTCGTCTTGATATATGATGTCACCCCTTATTAATATATATATTCTATATTAAACTCATTATTTTCATAAATAATGATATATGTTTTCGTGTACTTATGTTTTATGAAATGACGTATTTATACATTTATTTTCTTGTATGTTTTCAGTTAAAGACAACTGCTGTGATACTGTAATGGGACACACTTGCTGCCCTGATTACCTTGTATGCACATACTATGGGTGTCTCTGAATAGATCTTCATTTTCTATTTCGTTTCCATTTTTTTTTTTTTTTTTCTGAATTTGTCTTAAATCAATGTGCTGTAATTATTTTTCAAATAAAAGTTGCCTTTCTTGAACAAGCTGCTCTTTTTCTTCCGCCCCCCCGTCTATTGATTCTTTCGTTTTAAAATATGCTTGAAGAATTACGGTATATCTTTGCGTATTTTCTACCTAATATTTTAGCTACAATTTTCAAACTATTTTCTGTTTCCGTCAATGCGTATTGAGAACGAGCTTTCCTAAATTTCAAATTGATTCGCCCGTGTAGTGATTTTTTACAGCTTACTGACAAAGATAAACAATCGCAAATTACCTACGAAGGTCAACGAATCTTGCCCTTCTAACTGTTGAACTTTACTCCAGCCTAATACAAAAGCCGACCCATTACACGGAAGCAAACGCGAACTGACATTCGGTCTACGGTTTCGTTAAGTCTGTTGCACATTCACCTTTTCTAATTTTTTATAGATGATTAGAGTCCTAAAGATGAGTAGTAAGAATAGGCGAGATTCAAGTTACAGGAAAGCAAAAATGAAGATATTTTATTAGATTTTGTAATGCAAATATCACTGTGTATTCTTATCGGAATTCGGGTTTCTTTTAAATAAGTAATATTGGGATAGTTACCCGTAGTTTATCTATGACTACTTTTCATTTGTTATGCTGTTAGTAATCGCACCCTTCGAAAATTCAGTTATTCGCATAACTTTCCACTCTCGATTTTCGAACGATAAAATTAGCAATAGAAAGGGAAGAAAATACGCGAGGATAGAATATTTAGTAAGGATGCAGATTTATATGAATCACTGCTAAACAGTCAAATGAATACATTTTGGAGTCGTTATTAGTTTCATAAATTTTCTCAGAAAATAAAGCGATTGTACCAGTCTTTACATTTGACAAATCATTTTCAGAAATGTCAATAATTCTGTATAAAGCAAAAGCATAGTTACAGTTTACAAGAATAGAAAATAATCTATACTGGAAACCGATTTTCAGGTGACAATTTAATTAGTACTTTTAATATTATCAGGCTTCTGCTCCAGTTTTATTTATTACTTGCATCATTCCAGGGTTTCTACTGCTGAAACATTAGAACAACGATTCCCAATCCTAAATACTGTACTTGCTGCACAATGAAATAAGATCGTTGTTTCGAGACAATGACATAACTGGCATTGAAGTAACTGAACAAAAAAGCAATAGTTGGTCTTATTTAAACGTTTTTACCTTCTTTTTGAATGTGATATCTTGATTTAGGCCTACACTGCACTATAGCTGCATAAGAAATCAAATAGCAATTATCTTCAACAAAGAGTAATAAAATTTTTAAGTAACAACTAATGAGCGAATATGTGTTTGAATTGAATTACGTATAATGATTAACTTGCAGATACCAAATTTATTGCAATGATTTTAATGATGCTGTCAGAAATAACGTTAAATATGTGTTATAACATAAACTGGTATATCTTAATGTACTTTGGAAGAACCTGTATGTTTGGCTAGGTAGTGACAATAACACTAATGAGAATAAATTCAGATATTTTGGTAAAATTAAAAATTTATTCTTGTAATAGGCAGATAGCCCTCGTGTGCTTTGCCATATTCAAATACCCTAATTTATCTACCCATATTATATAATTTTTAAACATCATTAACTTGTAAAGCATAGGAAGGAGCTCTGCTAGAACAGCAAGTTCTGAAAAGGGATCTGGGACTCAAAAGATTTGGGAACCGTTTGCCCTGGACGGTTATCTGTCTTAGAAAAGGACACCTCTGAGAAAGATTTCCTAAGGAGATACTATGATGGTGTTTCAAATTAACAGAATTTGGTCTGTTATCTCTGGAACTGATGGATAGATTTTAATGAAGTTTGATATGGACATAGGTTAATATACAATGCAAAAACATATACCATACAACACTAATGGTACACATCTGCAATCGTGCGTAAAGTTCATTGTCGCAGAAAGGTCTAAAACAGAGACCGCAAGATTTAAAAGGGAGACTAATAGAAATATGGTCCCTTCTAACAGTCATACAGTCCATAATGCGACTTAATACTGGAAATAAGGTAGTTTATGAGTCCTCCGTTATAGTAACTGGTTTCTCTCCTGCAGGAACGCTTATTTTAGATTCTGGAGCGTTCTAGACAGGGAAACCGAGTTGCAGTTGTCCTTCCAAGAGCTACCTTTTTCTGAGGGCTTAGGTCTGAATATGAGGCTAGCCTATTCATTCGGTTAATTCATTCCGTAGTTGTTACGTTATGATAATTGAATATTAGAAGGGATGATATCCCCTGCTATCCTTTTTGTTGTTGTTGTTCGATCTTGCAACCTCTGTTTTAAAACTTTCTGTGCCGATGAGACTTAAGCTCGATCATATGTATGTACCATGACTGTTGTTCTATTTTCCTACATTATATCAACCTAAGTTTATAACAGATTTCAATAGAAATCTGTAGGTCAAATGCAGATAATTAACTAAGTATGGAAATTCTAATTTTGGACACCGCTGTAGCTCGCTGTGATGTAGCATTTGCAGAAAAACTCAGCCTCACCTCATTCAGTAGCACAGAATTGATTCTGAGATGAAATATGTGCTGAACTGTCTTCAATCATTCTTTGTAGAATGAAATACTATCAAACTTATAGGGAAGTATTTATGCAAATCACAACTCGTAATCTCTTCCTCGAGTATCGGGAGCTCCTAAGAAGCTGAATTGGTAGCTCCCACTAATAAAACATTTCAAAACACTTGAATGTTTTTTATTTCTCATTGAGGTAAGGATTTAGCTTCTGTTAACAGGAAGAGGACAAGAGACGTATGATTATGGTTTAGGTAGGGTCGGTGCAAGATTATTTTGTCTACTAGACAAAGAAATTTCAGGCATTACTATATTTTGTCTGCTTCTTATAGTAAGCAATCGCATCCCGTAGATACCAGCAGTTATTAGAACATACATCAACTTCGGCTCTAAAAATACCAGAATTTATTAGAAAATACATCAACTTCGGTTTGAACATCATCTCTGTAAGGCGACCACGGAAGACCATACTCCTCTGTAGCTGTGAGTGGCCATTTTGAAGAAATTTAATGTATTACCTATAGTATGAATACTATTTCTACTCGCCCAAACACCTAAAATGCCTACACGTGCGCATATTTATAGATATTTAGTTAAGAAAATATTATTTAACACTAAGCACTGATAATGTTAGTTGTTAACTTTTATAATGTCATGGTGAATTTTAAAATAATAGTCAATATATTTGTTTATGATGTTCAGATAATGTTTATTTTATGTTAAATTGAACACTATTTTTAGAGTCGTGATTCTAAATCGAAAAGATTTAAGGATCTATTTTTTCTCCTTTGTTTAGTAAGACAGACACCCCCTATCTTTAACTACTCTATAAGCGATGGCTTAGCCGGCCTACAGGGTCTAATATACTAGTTATCAATCAAAAATTGCGGAATTTAACTACGGCTAATTTAAACTGAAATAATATCTGCCCCCAATGATGAACACTAGCCATATAGTCGTTGGCCACTACTAAGGCCGGAAGCGGTGGTCACTTTGCTACGGAGTGCCGAACAGGGATGGGGGCTACCGTTGCCTTCTATGAAGGAACAGACAATTCAAATCCATGCCTCCTCAGCGATTCGAACCCAGGCCCTTCGGTACGGCAGTCAGAGTCACTAATCACTTCCCGTCTGAGAGGCTAAATTGGTATAATATAGGAATATCGTTATGCTTGACCTACAAAGCCAACTACTGGCAATGTTTCACATAAAATCTCTTTACTATATATGTTTTGAACACTTCAGAGCTAATGAGCAAAGTTTATGTTGAACACTGTTACAGAAATGATCGAGTATGTCCGTTCATCCCTGAAGCATACATATTATAATTAGGATCTAATCAAAGCTCTGCGGTTCCAGCAAATTCATACCCAACGAAGCATAATCTAAGCAGGATCAATTAGAGCTCTGTATATCTAACGTTTCATCGAACGCTTAATGTCATCAACCATTAAGTAAGATTTCAGAGATTCGAAGTTACCTGGCTCCTTTTTTTATTTTCTTATTTTCTTTTTCTTTTCTCTCTTTTGCATGTGTGGACGTACACTTTACTATCATAAGACATTCTTTGAAATTTTGCTGGTAGATATATCAGGCTACACTTTTGTAGAAATTACGAAAGATATTTTCCATTCATATCGTAATTATAAGCAAATAAATTTGGATTGATTTCTAAGTACAATGTGGTAGGCAAATATACTAAAGCTAATAATATAATACTAACTATACTAGAAGATAAGAATTTAAAGCATCGTCATAGCCTCATCTAATTAGCTGTCTTTTTTGTATGCTGCCTTGTATTGTATATAATAATTTGTGAGCATTCACGTCCTTTCTGACACTCTTTCTAGTATTTCCTAACTCTAGAATTACCAACCATAAAGCCTCATACGAAGATACTCATGTGTCCGCATAAAGTTAATTGAAGTACATACTATGGTATTCGAATACTTTTCGAGTCTGTGTGTAAGGTAAAAATAGGTAAGATAAAATACTAACTTTAACTCGCAAGAGACCTTTAAATTTTCTATTTATCCTTTTAATTACCCTTTCCAACCTAAAAATAGTAGTAGCAATTTATAATTAATCTCTCTAATTTGCATCATTTCAAAATTAATCCATTAACGCTTCTTTTAATCATAATATTTAAACCTATGAACCGAAACTTTAATAACGAATTAAAATAAAACTGAACCGAAATTGATTTAATCTGAGATAGGATTTTATCCTGGGCACATCGCATTCGTCTTGCGCTTCTCTTTCCAGCCAATAAGCGTTTCATCTATACAAACACAAGTGCCTTTGTATAAACTTCCTAACAATTTTAAAATAAGTGAATTTAGCCCTTTGGAAATAAGTATTGCGGGATCAGAATTTTTACAAATCTCTATGTGGTTCTCAAATCGCAAATTTAAAAGTAAGAATTTAAATTCACATAATTGCGCGAAAAAGCTAACCATGTTTGATTCACATAACTGCATGAAAAATGTCG